TCTTCCTGCATCTGGAGGTGTAGATGTCTGTGATGGTGGGGAGGCTGATTCCGACAGATTTCTGTGCAGCCTTCACCACTCTCTGCAAAGCTTTTCTTTCTGCAGCTGTGCAGCCTCCATGCCACACGTTGATGCTGGAGCACAGGATGCTCTCCACTGCACACCTGTAGAAGAAGGTGAGGACTGAGCTTCCCAGACCAGCTCGCCTCAGCCGTCTGAGGAAGTAGAGTCTCTGATGAGCTTTCTTGATCAGGCTGGTGGTGTTGTTGCTCCAGCTGAGGTTGTCATTCATGTGTACACCCATGTACTTGTAGCTGGAGACCACTTCCACCGCAGATCCTCTTATGTTCAGGGGGGTGTAGATGTTTTTGTTCCTTTTGAAGTCCACAATCATCTCCTTTGTCTTCTTCACATTGATGTGAAGGTTATTCTCTTTGCACCAGCTCTCCAGGTGTTCCACCTCTTGCCTGTAGCTGGACTCATCATTGTTTGTGATGCATCCCACCACCGCTGTATCATCTGCAAACTTTACAATGTGACAGCCTGGATGGGTAGCTGCACAATCATACGTGAGCAGAGTAAACAGGAGGGGGCTCAACACACGTCCCTGAGGAGAGCCATTGCTGAGGGTTATGGTGGAGGAGGAGAAGTTGTGGATCCTCACTAACTGTGGTCTGTTTGTTAAAAAGTCTAGTACCCAGTTGCAAATGGAGGGTCTTAGTCCTAGTGTGGATAGTTTGTCCATCAGGGTTTGGGGGATCATGGTGTTGAAGGCAGATGTGAAGTCCACAAAGAGCATATGGACGTAAGAGTTTTTCTGCTCCAGGTGGTTGAGCGCAGTGTGGACCACAGAGGAGATGGCATCCTCTGTTGATCGGTTCTCACGGTATGCATACTGATGAGGGTCCTCGTTGATGTTGATGGTTGTTTTGATGCGAGTCATGACCAGTTTTTCAAAGCATTTAGCGACTATCGGGGTGAGGGCCACTGGCCGATAGTCATTCAGACCAGTCACTGTAGAGCTTTTTGGGACTGGGATGATGGTGGCAGTCTTCAGGCAGGTGGGAACTGTGGGTAAGTGAGGTGTTAAAGATGTCTGCCAGCATCTCACAGAGCTGATCAGCACATTCCTTCAACACTTTTCCGGGGATGTTGTCTGGGCCAGTTGCCTTGTGCGGATTAATCCTCCTGAAGGTACTCCTTACTTCTTCTGAGGTCACCCTGAGATGCTCTTCATCCGGTGGTGAGGTGAGTCTGGTGCTGGGTGGTCTGTTCGGGTCTTCAAAGCGTGCATAGAACTTGTTGAGGGCATCAGGCAGAGATGGGTCTTTGGGGCATTGTTCGCTCCTTCCTTTATAATCTGTTATGCACTTAATGCCCCTCCACATACTCCGAGGGTCTTGTGAGATTAATTGACCCTCGATCCTCTTTGCATATGTGGCCTTGGCCCTCTTAATACCAGCAACCAGCTCTTTTCTTGTCCTACTCAGCTCCTCTGAGTTTCCAGACCTGAAGGCAGTGTTCCTGGCTTCCAGCAGGGTACGCACCTCTGCATTCAGCCAAGGTTTTCTGTTTGGGTAGCTTTTAACGTTTCTGATAGTGGAGACGGTGTCAGTACATGTACTAATGTAACCCAGAACTGAGGATGTGTATTGGTCAAGATCAAGCGAACCTCCATTTTCAGCAGCTTCTCTGAAAACCTGCCAGTCTGTTCGGTCAAAACAATCTCTCAGTATGGGGCCACTGTCCAGGATCCAGCATTTAATTTTCTTTTGTACCGGTCTGGAGCGTCTCAGCGGGGGCATGTAAGCAGGAGCCAGGAAGATTGAGATGTGGTCTGACAGTACTAGGTGGGGGCGGGGTTCGGCTTTATAGGGAACGCTCTTACAAGAACCCTGCAGATGTTGGATGCTGTCTGTCATGGTGCACTAAGGTTCATAACTGGCTGTGATTATCATACCCACCACTGCACCCTGTGTTCACTGGTTAACTGGACATCATTAACTTGACGCAGACTTTCTCACTGGTACATTTTCATCTTTAAATCACTTCTTGGTCTGCTGCCTTCATACATCTCCCCCTACATGTCTCTGCGTGAGTGCAGCTACAGCTTGCACTCTCAGGACATTATTACCTGCAGTGTTCCCTCATTGAGGACTGAGCTAGGCAAAAGGGCCTTCTCCTACTCCGCTCCTGTTTCCTGGAATACCTTACAAAAAGATTTGAAGCTCTCGACCTTGACCTCTCTAAGTGGCTTTAAGAATCTGTTGGACTCCTGGCAGGGACCAATGCAGACATGTTCCTGTTTTTAGTTTTCTACATTCACCTTAGAATCTAGCTGTTTTTAAAAAAAACTTTTTTTAGCCATCCTATTTGTTTAAAAAAAACTGGAGTATGACTTTTTATAACTGTTTATTGTTGTCACTGTTGTCCATTGTTGTCATCATTCTTTGTTGAAATCAGGTCTCTCTTGTAAATGAGTCCTCGAGGCTCAATGGGATTTACCTGTCTAAATAAAGGTTGAATGAATGAATGGAGCATGAGATTGATAGACAGACTGGTGCAGCATCTGCAGTATTGTGGTCTCTGTGCTGGTCCGTTAGGGTGAAGAGGGAGCTGAGCTGTAAGGCAAAGCTCTCTGTTTACTGGTCTGTCTACGTTCCTACCCTCATCTATGACCATGAACTCTGGGTAGTGACTGAAAGAATGAGATTGTGGAAACAGGAGGTTGACATGAGTTTCCTCTGCAGGGTAGCTGGACTCTTCCTTAGAGATAGGGTGAGAAATTCAGTTATCAGGAGAGACTCAGAGTAGAACCTCTGCTCCTCAACATCAAGAGAAGGCAGTTGAGGTGGTTCAGGCATCTGGTAAGGATGCTTCTTGGACGCCTCCCTAGGGAGGTGCTTTGGACATGTCAGACTGGGAGGAGACCCCAGGGAAGATCCTGGACATACTGGAGAGACTGTGTCTCTCAGTTGGCCTGGGAATGCCTTGAAGTCCTCCCAGAAGAGCTGGAAGAGGTGGCTGTGGAAAGAGATGTCTGGACCTCCCTGCTCAAGATGCTGCCCCAACATCCGACTTCAGAACAAGAGGAAGATGATTGATGGATGGATGGATGGATGGGTGCATGGATAAATTGGTTATGGTATTATACAATTTCTGGTGTTCTAAAAAATTTTAATGGTCATTTTCCATTTACTGTAAATTATTTGCAGGTGTTAGTATGTGACCAGGTGTGCCTCAGTGCAAACTTCCCAAACAGTTGGAGTCTGACCACATGTTCTGTTGGTTCATGATTAAGATTATACCTTATGGGCTAACTTTAATGAAAGTGAACTAAAGAGAGTTCCCATAGTGACAAGAAGAGCATCACATTATATTCATATATATATATTCTATATACACATTATATAGTCGTTTTCACGTGGCCACCGTCATGGCTCCCTGTGGGACAAACAAACACATGCACACACACCCCCCCCACACACACACAACTGCTTCTCGTCTTGTGGCACCACCCAGGTTGAAAATCAATGCTCAGTTTCCTGCAGGATGCTTGATGTCTGTTGGATCCAAAATGTTAAACCTCAGCAAGGAGCATCATTTAGATGAGAACTTACCTTTATGGTTTTATCAATAAGAACTTGTTGATGTTCATAGACTTATTTAAATTTTAATCTGAGGAGGTCACCGCCCTTCATCTGAACAAAAGATAATATTCTATATTGTCTTAAATATAGTTTATATATACTCTCAAAACATTGGTGGGTTTTAAAATAATATTGCATAATGTAATAATAAAATAAACCATCTGTATTCTTTTAGTTTAACTTGAAGTGTGATGTCAGAGTATGAAAATGGAGGAGATGCCTGTTGAACAGAGAATGGGTTTGCTTTGTTCTGGACAAAACCTAAAATATGAACGTGCCCACAACAATAAGAGA